TATATTCACCATAATTTTCTAGATTGAAAACAGTTCTAAAATGGAAGTTTACTTAAAGGACTGAGACCAAGACTCTCTTTGTATTCCACACTTCAGAGCCTCATCATTCACCCCAGGAACAGATATTCATAGGCACACCAACAAACATGCTACCAACAAACACACCAACAAACATGCTCAAGATATGGACTCAGCATACAAGTGAAGACACTGATTTGCTATCCAGAGGCATAGAATATTAGCCAAATAATCAGAAGTAGTTAAGATGCTGAGGACATTTCCCAAGTATAGTGCTCTGCCTCATTCTTCTGCACTATGACAGGAGGTACGCTATGGTACATGGAACACATTAAACATTTTTGTATTATTTTATTTTATTTTGGGGTGCATGTGCAGGTGTCTTGAATTTTTGATCCTCCTGCCTTGGCCTCTCAAGTTCTGGATTACAAGGGTGCATCACTTTGTCCATCTTGAGGAGCTTATCTTAATATTCCAAAACTTCATGGATTTCTATCTACTGTAGTCAAAAATTGTTCAGGCTTTACAGAGTTCAGTGTGTAGTATATGCATAAGCTTGCTGATGGCTCTCTTGCCCCTCTCAGAGGATGTCTATGCCATGTAAAGAGGAAAGAGCTACAGGACACAACTGAGAGCATCAATGTTCACGAAATACAAAGCAAGGTAGAAGATGATGACAGTAAGAAACTCGAGTTAATGGAAACTTATTTGATATGATTTATTATTGATTTTTGAAATGCAAGGTAAAAACTAATAATAGGAACACAGGCAAAAAAATAAAAGAAAAAAGAGAGTCCCAAGGAGTCAGGGAGATAGCTCAGGAGGTAGAGGCTTGTCCAAAGGCTGACCTGAGTTCCATTCCCAGGACCTACAGGGCAGAGAGAACTGACTCCTAAAAGATGTCCTCTGACAGCCACATGTACATCATAGTGCATAGTGCATGCATGTGCACATACACACATACTTATATGCACACTAAAAGAAAGAAAAATGAATCTAAGGGCCAGTAACATGATTCTGGGAGTAAACGCGCTTGGCACCAAGCTGGATGACCTGAGTTCAATCCTCAGGACCCACAAAGCTGTCCTCTACCTCTACAGATGTGCTGCAGCCTACACGCACGCACGCACACACGCGCGCGCACACACACACACACACACACACAAGTAAACAAATGTAATGAAAAATAAATCAGAATTCTGCTATACCAATTGAAGTTACCTAAGTTATAAACTATTAATATAGCTACCAATATAATGATGAAAAATACTATTTTGTAGTAGATATGGTCATAATTCAGTTTTAAACTTTTTAAATTTAAATTTTTGTATTTTCTATTTGCATAAAGCACCAGCTGTAATAGCTTCATAAGCATACACATTTTATTTTCTTTCAAGAACAATAAGGACAGAAATACAATACTTTGTTCCTAAGAACTTATTTTCAGTCTACCATTTCTGTTAATTTCATTAACAATTCAAATTGAGTAGATAATGAATGAATTACTGCGTCCAGGTCACAAGTGTGGCTCAGATATGGTTCCCAGATCCATCTATCTTAACACCTTCATCACAAAAAGTAATTTCTGATTTTTTTGCTGCTTAACAATACATTAACCTATAGCTTTGAAAAGCGTCATGCTGCTTAAAAAAGATATGTTGACCATCAAAAGAGGAGGACCCATTTTTCTATAAATGAATACCCATACCAGACCTGGCAGACTCCGGATCTGTGTGCCTGTGAATGGAAGGCAACCAGGCCAGAAGATTACCACTGCCAGCTCAGCAGCTGAGAAAAGGCGGCATCTACACATAGACCACTCTTGACAATCACAACTTGCAGGCAGTCTCCAGTAGCGCGAATAGAGAATGTGGCACTGATAAACCGGGAAAAGTCTGACAAGAAAAACCAGGTTCCTGGGGGTTAGGGGAGCTCCCAAGGCTACAATCCCGGAAGGGATACAGCAACTGCTGATGAGCTAATATTAATACCCCACCCCAGAGGTGGAAAGAAAAACTCTGCGAGGGCTGGAGAAAGGGCCCGACCTCACCTTGTCATCCTCGCACCGCTTGCCCAGGCCCTCCCTGGCCTGCAGCCGGCTGCTGAGGCGCCCGTAGTCGGCCTCCTTCTGGTCGATCTGTTTCTTATGCGTGTCCACCAAGAGCAGGAGGTCGGAATTGCGCTTCTCCAGACGCCCACGGGCCACCTCGGTGCGCTGGACTTGGCCCTGCAGCTCAGCCACCTCCTCCTGAAGCAGAACGTGGCGAGAGGAGATGCTCCAGTAGTTGAAGGCGAGGACGACGATCACCACTAGCAGCACCACCAGCACGAACGACGGCAGGCGGCCAGCCCGCCGGTTGGCCCCGAAACCCACCATGGGGCCAGACCCGGTTACAGCCCGGAGCCTCGCCGACACCTGCGGCCAGAAGCTCCGGCCTCCGCACCCAGAGGCCCCCGGAGGCCGGCCTAGCAGCCGCGCAGAAGGGGGCGGGGCCTCGCAGGGCCTCCCCGCCCCCTCCGCGCTCCCGCAGCGCGCCTTCGGATCGTGGAAGCCAAGCCGGCACCCAGCACAGGGAACCGGGAGCAGCCGGCGCCAGACCACCCGCCCGACGCCTCAGTGCTGGGGGCGGGGACGCGAGCCGGAAGGGGGCGGACTTCCTCGGTCCCCGCCCACCGGCTTGGGCCGGGTCGCTGAGGGGGCCATTCGCGAGTTTCCGCTACCCCCTCTTCTCGCGAGATAGTGGGCTTTCTCTCGTCCCCTTGCAACCGGGTCTCGCGAGGGCTCTCTGGAGACCTGTTCATGCTGTCTGGGATGCGCTGCGCACCTGGATGTGCCGGCTGCTGTCACCTGGATGAGGCTCCTGCCGTCTTACCCCGGCCCTCGAGGGTTTTGGCTTTCAGGAATTGGGCCTCCTACTAGGAAAGGCCTAATGAGGTGCAACAAGAAAGGGATAGCCAGAAAGGTGGGAAATTTTCCTGTGTTCACGATATGGAAGGAAAAGAGTAACAACATAAGACCATGAAATAGCAATGCCGAGAACACTACTGAATAAAAGCAGGAGAACATTAGCCTTAGGAAGCTGTAGGATTTTGAGATGTGTTGCCAGCCTGGTTTCCAAGGTTACTGCTTCCATGGACCCAAAGAATTTCAGAATGTGGTGCGCCTATTTTAAAGCACCCTGCTGCCTTTGTCTCAACTATGTTTCCCAGTGGAAAGTCCAGAAGCTGCCTTCCATGAGTGTAACTAATGCACTGTTACTGATGGCTAACACTCTGAATTAGCAATAACATCATACAAGTTGTTTTTTCACGCCTAGTTTCAAATTTTCTTCCACACAACAGAGTTGGGAGTAACTGTAAAACAGAGTTTTACAGAGAAAGCCAAGACACAACGACGTTAAAAAACCTGAGTCCAGTATCTCGTTTGAACTTGGCTTGAATCCAAGAGCCTGAACCTAACACTGTTGCTCTTGGCATCGTAGCAAGCTAGGTGTTGCTGTTCGTGTAGTGTTAATGTTCAGAGAAAGCCCTACTTGTTCTCTGTATTTCCTTTATACTCGGAAAAAAAAAAAATTACTGGTTTTCATCTGTGTAAGCACAGGAGAATTTGGTGTTATTTTTCAGACTTCGGGGTCAAGAACTTCCATGCCCGTAAGCCCCTGAGAGCATAAACTTCAGTGTTTATTCACATAACTATTTTTTAATTTAGTGGTAGTGATTCATGGCTATAATTGCAGCACTTGGGAGGCTGAGGCAGAAGGAATACAAGTTGGAGACCAGCTTGGGCTACATACCAAGTTTCCGGCTCCAAAACAAAAAAAGAAAGCTTCCCCACACTCAGATTTCAAGCAGGCTTTGACAAAAGGAAGCCAGGCGAAAACAGGAAACCTTTTTAAATTTTTTTATTGCATTTATTTATTTTTATTTATTTATTTATTTATTTATTGTGTGCTTGCATGTCTCAACACATATGTGGAGGTCAGAGGACAACTTATGGGACTCCTCTCTTTCAATCATGTGGGTCCTGGGAAGTGAACTCAGGTCATCTATCTTGAGACAGGGTCTCCTTGTAGCCCCAGCTGTCCTGGAACTCACTATGTAGACCAGGCTGGCCTCGAACTCACAAAGATCTGCCTGCCTCTGCCCCCCAAGTGCTGGGATTAAAGGCATACACCACCACGCCCGGCCTACATTTATTTATTTTTATGTCATGTGTATGTTTTGCCTGCATGCATGTAAGTGCATCCATGCATGCAGTGCTCATGGAGGACAAAAGAGGGCCTCAGATCCCCTGAACTGGAGTTATGGACAGTAGTTGGCCACTTCCCGTATGGGTGCTGAGAACCCAAGCCAGGTTCTCAGTAAGCACAGACAGTGCTCTTAACTGCTGAGCATCTCTCCAACCCCTAAATTTTATTACATTTATTTATTTGTGTCTGTGAGCCTGTGTGTGCCATGGTATATGAGAAAGTCAGAGGACAACTTTCAGTAGTCAGTTCTCACCTTCAACCATGTGGGTCCTGGGGAATCAAACTCAAATTGTCATCCAGCTTGGCAGCAAGCACCTTTACCCACTGAGTCCTCCCACTGTCCCTCAAGTTGGAAACATTTTTTTAAGAAAACATTTTGTTATTTTTATTTTTAATATGTATGAGTGTATTGTCTGCATGTATGTTAAGTACACCCCTGTCATGCAATGCCCATGGAAGTCAGAAGAGGGCATCAGAGTCCCCTGGAACTGGAGTTGCAGATGGTTGTTAGATGCAATGTGGGTGCTGGGAATCTAACCTGGGTCCTTTGCAAGAGCAATCAGTGATCTTAACCGCTAAGCCATCTCTCCAGCCCTTTAAATTGGAAATCTTAACCCTCTCCTCATATTACCCATGTTCTGCTCAGTCAGCAGCTTACCATTAAGTATACTAATGGCTTAAAGCATTATTTTTCCAAGAATGTTTTCTTTTTTATATGGGATTCGGACAGATCTAAAGCTATAATATTATACAAAACACATGCACAAACATTTTCCCAATAGGTGCTTAAAAGCTCTATTTGGTACCATTGTTTTGTTTTACAAAGACAGTATATAGTGCATTCATATAGCCAGTTGTGGGTTAGGCATTAAAATAAGGCAAACAAATTCTTGAAGCTGGATGATCAGTATTAACATCAACAGTGAAATATATCGCCTGTATGGATACTTAATATGATGTGATGATGACAACACTCTCTGATCTTCCTCTCAGCAACTCATAACACTAGTCCGATCATGAGAGAACATCAAACAAATCCAAGTTGAAGGACATTCTGCAGCGTCCCTGATCAATATTCCTCAAAACTGTCAAGGTGGGCTGGGGTATATTAGTGCACAGTTCAGTGGTAAGATGCTTGCCTAGCATACATGAGACCTTGGATTTGATTCCCAGCACCACAAGCAAAAACAACACACACACAAAAAGTCAAGTTCATCAAAAAGACAGAAACCTGAAAAGCTGTCACTTCCAAAGGAGCTCAAGGGGACATGATGACTAAATGCATTGTGGGATCCTGGAACAATCAAGGACCTTAGGTTGAAACTGAAGACATCTGACTAAATATGTACTTTAGTTAATAGTAATATATAGTGTGCATATATATATATATGTATATCTATACATACATATTTTTTAAGAGAGAGAGAGGGTCTTGTTTAAGACTGGCTGGCTTAAAACTCACTATATTGTCAAGAATGACTTTTAACTTCAGATCCTCCTGCCTCCACCTCCTAATTACATGCAGCTTTTTATGCTGTGCTGGGGCTCAAACCCCAGACTTTGTACATGCTAGGCAAGCACTCTATCACCTGAGCCAATCACCACCCTAATAATATATTCTTAATGCTTTATTGTCAAAAATGTGCATGTATTAAAGGATGCTAATGAGGGAAATTGGAAGTGAAGCATATGGGCACTCTACATTTTTACAGTTTTTCTTTAGATCTAAAATTGTTCTAAAATTAAAACTTTTAATTTAAATTTTAACTTTTGGTAATTTCATGCATGAATACACTGAATTTATATTATTTCCACCCCTTCCTCTCCCCTTTCCAACTCTTTCCATGTTCCCCACCCCTCTCAAATTCATGATTCTTCTATAATTATAATTACATACACACATATATACATACATGTGCACATACCATACACACACACACACACACACACACACACACACACACACACAACCTACTGAATCAAGTTAGCATTGCCTGTATGTATACGTGTAGAGCTGAACACATAGGTTTGTTTACTCAGTCTGTCCAGAGGCTGGGACCTGAAGAAATCTGATTCACCCCCCCTCAGCAGCCACTGACTACTGGTAACTCATCTAAGAGTAGAGTCTTATGAAATTTTCTCCTAATCCATGTTGGCATGTTGACTGATAAGATCTTGTGCAAACAACTAAAAGCTTTTGGTTTTTTTGAGACAGGGTCTCCCTGTAGCCCTGGCTGGCCTAGAACTTGCTATGTAAATCAGACTGGCTTCAATCTCAGAGATTCACCTGCCTCCTCAGTGCTGGTATTAAGGGTCTGCACCAAAACACCTGACCCTAAAAACTATTTTTAAGAAATCCAAGGCTGGAGTGATTGCTCTGTGGTTAAGAGCACTTGGTGCTCTTCAGGGAACCGGTTCCAATCCAGCACCCACATGACAACTAACAACCCTCTGTAACTCCAGTTCCTGGTGTTGCAGTGCCCTCTCTGGCCTCCATAAGCACTGTACTCATGTGCATATACATATATGCAGACAAAACACTCATACACATAAGCTTTTTTGTTGTTTTTGAGATGGGTCTCCCTGCAAACCCAACTGGCCTGGAACTTGCTATGTAGACCAGGCTGACCCCGGTCTCATAGAGATCCACCTGCTTCTACCTATTGAGTGCTGGGATTAAAGGCATGGGCCAATCATGCCAAGCCTTACATTAATTTTTTTTTAAACTTTTTTAATCTTTTGGAATTTAAAAAAAAACTTTTTTAATCTTTTGGGATATGTCTTAGGCTGTCAAGTTTATATTATCATATAACTGGAAAAGCAGTATAATCAAAGACAATGTTTTAAGAATTAATCAGGGTATAAGAACACTTCCACCTATTGTGGGGGAAGTGAAATGGTTCAGTGGGTTAAGTGCTTGCCATTCAAACATAAAGGTCAGGTCCCCATCACCCATGTAAAAATCTGGGCATAGTGGCACATGTCTGTTATCCCAGCATTGAGGAGCTGGAGAAAGGCAGATTCCTGGAGCTCACTGGCTAGCCAATCTAGTCTAATCGGTTAGTTCCAGGTTCAATGACAGACCCAGCCTCAAAATGCCGAGGAGTGGGACCGAAGAAGGTACTCACGGGTGCACACACAGGATTGACACACACATAGAGCATCAGCCAACCTCAAATCATAGGAATTCTGTATTTGGCTGGAGTTTTCTCCAGAAGTCATGCTATTTCTCTTTTAAAATTTAATTATTTTTATGTATATGAATGTTTTGACCACATGGATGCAGGTGCACCCAATGTGCATAATGCCTGTGGAGGCCAGAAGAGGGTGACAGATCCCCTTGAACTGGAGCCATGAACAATTGTCATTTTACCATGTGGGTGCT